CTCTCAGCCCTCCCCAGTGAGTGCCTGTTGCCTGGCCAGGGGAAGCAGAGCCTGCTCAGCCCCAGGGGCGGCACCCACGCCCCGGGGGTGCAGAGCAGGTCTACCCGGCTCTGCCGGCTTTGGGCGCGCTCTGAGTCACCGCAGCCCTGCGCTCCCAGCTCTGCAGGCGCCTGGCTCGAACCCGCAGGCATCCCGGCTCAGCTGCCAGGGCTGCAGCAGCGGGTGCAGGGACCAAGAGCATCACCCAGGTGATGGTGACAGAGTCATTCCTGCCAGTCGTCGCTGTCCCCCAGCCCGGACAGCGTGGTTGTGCCCTGCCCTGCAGAGGGGTGGCGTCCCCCACTGCCTGCCTGTGCAAAACGGGAAGAGCTCCAAGGTATCAAAGCATGGGTCAGGAGGCGGCAGCAGTGCTGGCAGGGCTCCATGTGGGAATGATTAAACACTTGCCAGGGGTTGGAGAAGGAGCATCTCAGTGCTCTAGGGTTTAGGGTTGGAGAACCATGGCGTGTGAACCTTGCAAAATGAGAGGTCCCATTGGCACCTGCATCCTCTGCAGGTTCTGCCCTGGGAGCAGCCTGTTCCTCTTGTTCCTCCCTTGCAGCCCTGGGCAACACTCAGCACCTCAGAGTAGCAGAGGGGAGAAACTGCAGCCTGGGGCAGTTCACAGTGCTGGTGGGCATTGGAAGGGACTGAGGGACAGGGACCAAAGGGTTGGTGCTGGCCTGAGGCAGGACAAGAGCCCCAGAGCTGTTCCCAGCCCAATCCCAGGGGCATTAGTACCACATATCATGGGGCCCCTGGGCATATGTTGTTGTGTGGTGTCAGGTTGGATGCACAGAATCCTGCCCAGGGAGGGATGGCAGAGCTCTCAGAGACAGAGACATCAGGGCATGTCCAGACAGCAGTAGAGGTTCCTCTGTGCATTGCCCACACCACCAGGTCATGGCTGTGCCCTCTGAGTGACAGGTTGAGCCCTTGTGGGAGTGTCCTCAGCCACATGCTGTCCCCTGGCATGGGCTCTGCCCATACCCAGTCTTGGGAGCATCACCTGCCTCTGTCACCTTGCACAGACCCTGTGACACAGCCGGACCCTTAGGTGAGGTGGGCACTCTGCTGTCCACTCTGCCCATCCTCACTCCAGCAGGTGCTTCCCAGGGAGCCTTGACTCCTCCAGGTATGCAGGACCATGCTCAAGTCGAGGAGATGCCTTAGCAGGGACAAGCCCAATGTTGCCAGCTCCATGCCCAGGGCACCTGGAGAGGAGGCCAGAGCATGGAGCACAAAGTGTGTGGGCCCTGCTCTGCTCTGGGGTTGGCTCTGCTTGGGAGGACAGCCCAGAGCCTTTGCCAGGCAGGGCCTTTGCACTGCACTGAAGTTATTGTCCCTCACCTCAAGCAAGACCTGACACCACAGTGACAGGCATGCTGTCTGGGGTCCCCGTTCCCATCCCTGCTCCTGGGTGATGCTCCTGGAGCACAGGCCATGAGCACAGTCCCATGTTGGGGTTCTGCCCCTTGCCAGAGGCAGTGGCTTGGCTGCACAGCCCCTGTCCCTTCTCAGCCCTGGTGGGCTGAGCCCTGCAGCCATCCCGGGAGCCCTGCAGCCATCCCAGGCAGCGAGGCATCCCCATCCCCCTGTGCCTTGCGGTAGCGTTCACTGCTTTGCGGAAAATGTGATGACTCGGCAGCCCCTGAGTTTCCAGGCCTGGTTCCAGCTGCTGGGTGGAGAAACTTCTGCAGTTGTCTTTAGGTTTGGCACAGCTGAAGGCTTCATGGTCAGGGGGGACTGGAGGGGAGATCCAGCATCCCAGCTGAAGGAGAGCTCTCTCTCTCTGTGTCCCTACCTGAGGTGGCTGTGGGGAAGGCAGGGCTGGCACAGGATGAGCAGCTTCTGTCCTGTGTGGGGGTTACTGAGCCCTGCAGCGTCAGGGACAGGGCCTCAGCTTGGCTCCCAGCAGTGTTTGGGCTCTTTCCACTGCAGCCACAGCCCAAACTCCCTGAGCTGAGGGAGCACAGACACTGGGACCCGAGGTTAAATAAGCAGGGCTGGTATACACACATGTCCCCGTGGCAGGGGGTGACAGCTCGCTGTGCCACTAGGACACACAGAGGCTCTGAAAGCTGCTGGGTTGTCTCCTGGTCCATGCTCAGAGGCCAATCCCATCCTGGTAGGCAGCAAGGCATCCCCCAAGCCCATCCTCATGCTGAGTGAGGTTACCTCTCCTCCTGGTTGGGGAGGTGCAGGGCAGTGGCACAGTATGGCAGTGAGATCCAAGGGAACACCGTGTTCCAGAAATCCCTGCTTGGTTGCCCAGCTCAGAGACCAGAACAGGTAAAACAGACCCTTTGCTCCTTGGGCAAGCCACTGTCCAGAGCAACTGCCTCAGTAGAGGAGTTGTGCCCCCATGCAGGGCTGCAGCAGCAGAGGCTGTGGCTGGAGGTGGAGATGGCTGGCTTTGCAGAGGCTGGTGCAGGGGCACTGAGGCTGTGCCCAGGCAGGTGCAGGAAGTTTGCATGGCCTCGGATTCTCTCCAGCTGGGCCGGGCAGGCACAACCCAGCTGGAGTGTCCCAGGACTCCAGTGGCTGGGTTTGTCCTCTTGCTGGCCTGGAACTGCTCTTTGGTATGCTTTGAAGCTGCAGGAGCCCCACCTTGACTCTAGGGAAAACCTCCCATCCGTGCTACCACTGCAGAGGACACTGCCTTTGACACTGGGTCATGCAACATCTTTTTCCAGGATTTTCCTTCAAAATCTAGGGTGCCTCCTGTCCCATGTCCTTGGATCACAATTCTCAGCCTAGCAAGGCCCTCCATCCTGACCTCCAGCCCCTGCTTCATCAGCCAGGGGCTCCCTGAATTCAGCTCTTCCTGAATCACCTGCCACACTCCAGGGACACCAGGGTCCCCAGCACTGCTTGCACTACCTCTATCCCAGCCACCTCCAGGTGAACCTCCAGGCTGCTCATAGCAGCAAACAACACCACGCTCCCCATCCACAGTGTGGTCACCTGCGCTGGCAGCCTGCACCCCACAATGGACCTGTGAGGGACGTCCAGTGAAAGCCCCTTTGAAACGTGTTTGGGGAGCAGCCAGCTGTAACATTCCTGATCCTGCCCTGGGCCCCCGGGTAAACCTGGCAAACCCTCACTGCAGCAAGGAGCTCCAGCCTCCTCGCAGCCGGCTGCAGCTGCCCAGCTCTGGAAAGGGGCCTTTAAAAACAGTCTCCAGCCCACTGGAGACAGCAGCAATCAGACCCAAATCTCCCCGTCTCATTTCTGGGGAGGAACTCCATCTCAGGGGCTGGAGGACCTCACCCCAGTACCTGTGAGCACTCACCTTGCACTAAACGGGGAGTGGCCAGCTGCCCATCAGGCTGGTGCCCAGCAGCAGGGATGGGTATCCTCAGAGCTGGCTGTGACGCTGCTTGATGGGTCAGTCTCATCACCCCAGGTGCTGGTGGATCTCAGTCCCAGGGCTTATCAGGAGATCTCCAAGAGCCACAGCTGTTACTCTGGGCATCCATCACTTGAGCAGCTGCACCCATGGCATTTTTGGCATTCAGCCCTTGGAGCTGTGGGCATTAAAGGTTAAAAATCTTTCCTGTGCTGGAGCCAAGGCATTGCCTTCTGCTCCCACCTTGATCTCTGTGTTCAGGGTACAGGGAGGGGTAGGTCTGGAGACAGTGACACGAAGAGGCTCTGGTGGTAGAGCTGTACCTTTCTGCTGAGGGAGAACATCTGAGTCCTAGACAGAAGTGACAAACAGGCCCTCACTGCTGGGCTGAGCTGCAGGGCCAGGGCTCCTTTATCCTCAGCCCATTCCAGGCAGGGACCTCTGCAGAGACGTGACTGTGACCACGGGCCCAGACTCCTGGCACCAGTCCCATTTGGCCGGGACCTGGGAAATTAACTGTTGTCCATGCAAAGGGAAGGGGATTCATGTTCCCTGTCCCCTTTTCCAGCTGGCTCCATCAGCCTGGGGGTTGTCAGAAGGGTGGGGTACAGACCTGGGGTTGGAGATGCATCCTAGACCAGGTCCCCTATGTCCCCCTCTCTTCTTAACTGCATGCAAGAGCTGGAGCTTTCCCGTGTCCTTGTCCAGATACTGGGGGTTGTTCTGTCTGTCGCAGGTCCCACCTGACAAACTTCTGAGTCTTTTGTTGAAGGATTCTGGTGTTCTAGAAGACAGGTGGGGGACGTGTCCTACTCTGACAGTTCGGTGGGTTACAGTAATGAGCGGAGCTTGAATAGCCCCCATAGGTGGCCGTGCTGGCTACTGGGATAGACTCCCACGACCACAAAGGCTGTGCTGGCTTCCGGACTGATGCATCACTGAACCTCTTCCAGCACTGTCCCAGATCCCCAGCGCTGATGTGAAGCCAATGGCATCTCGGCTCTGAATGAGAGCTGGCACTCCGCCACGCATTGCACAGACACCGCAGAGCACCGCCCTGCACGCAGCCCGGGGCACAGCCTGGTCCCCGGGGCAACCCCCCGAGGTACAGCGCCCTCCCACCCGGGCACAGCTCGCTTCAGCCACCCCTCAGACGGGCAAAGCGTGGTTTGGGCATCTCTGTGACTGCGAGATACCACGGCAGGAGCCTCTCAGAGCGTGCACTCCCCCCACCGCAGCCTGCTGGCCACCGTGCCATGGCCACGGCACAGAAATACCCCCATCCCTGCCCTCGGCGTACCCAAACCCCGCTCCCCAGCCGCACCTGCGCAGCAATTAAAGCACACAGAGCTGAAGGGTGCCTGAAGGTGCAGCACAGAGGGAGCAAAGGATGCACAGCACTCCTCACTCCACACTCGTGCTCCGGCTCCCTCCAGCACCCCAGCCCTCCCTCCCTCACTCCCTCCCTCCCTCCCCGCGCTGGGGTTGGTTCGGGCGTGCCCTCCCAGCCTGGAGCCGCCATCAGTCCAGTCCGGTCTCCTCCCCTCCCGCTCCTCCCGCCCCTCCCGCTCCAGCTCCCGGAGCTCCCGCTGATGCCAGAGCGGGCTCCCGCCCGGCAGAGCCCCCGCCGCAGCGAGGTCCCCCGAGAGCCCGGCCAGCAGCGAGCCTCCCATCCCAGCCGGCAGCTCTGCCCGCAGCCCGCAGCCGCTCTCCCCGGGCCAGCTGCGGAGTCACCGCAGAGGACACGGACCTGCGGCGACAACAGCAAATGCGCCCAGCGAGAGGCAGCCGCCCCCGCTGGGTTTCTCCCAGGCTGGAGGCGAGCTCTACCCCCGCCCAGGGCCAGCGGGCCCGGCCGAGGTGCCACGCGCTGGCCAGTCCCCATTGATGTCATCTTGTCACCCGCGCTCGGAAAGCATGTGGGGACACGGCTCCTGGCTGCCGTGGGACAAGGGGCTGGCTGGGGACAGCCGCTGCTAAGAAACTGCCCCCCCCACCCCAGCTTTGTCATTCCTCTGATCTGCTGCCACCAGGTCCCCATGAGGTCACTGCTGCTGCCGCTGCTGGTGCTGTGCGTGCCGCGGCTCCCAGGAACCCTGGCAGAGGTAAGCGCTCGACTCCCCAGCCCCCCTTTGGCTCCGCAGCTCTTGGCTGCCAGCTCGCTGCTGCAGGGGCTGCCCCGCCGGCCAGCGACTCGGGCTGCGGGTGTATCTCTCTGGTCGTGCTGCTGCGCCACATCAGCGGGTTCACCATCCTGAGCGGCGCTTCCCCCGCTGCCCCTCGGCCCCGGGACCTGGGCCCGCTGCCTGGGAGCGCAGCGTGTCCCTGTTGCCGTGGCTGCGCGGCTCCTCGCCAGGCAGTGGCTGCTGTTCCCAGGGGTCCCCAGCCGCTTCGCTCTCCTCTGCCAAAAGCGTCGCGATCGGTGGGGAGCCGGCACGAGTCTGCCCGCAGAGCCGAGGGAAAAGAACGCCAGGAAGATGATGGTTCTGCTGTGGCTTGTTGCAGGACAGGGAGTGGGCAGGAGACATTTCCTTTAACGTGGGGGGAACTGACGCCAGTCCAAAGCCAGGCACACCCTGCTGGGAGCAGGCTGTGAGAGAACGGGAGTCGCTGCTGCTGGAGAGGGTGCCAGGGGCTCCGGGGATTCTGTTTTGCCCCTTTGGGGTGGCAGCTGGACTGAGGTCTGTGGTCCTTCCCTTCCCTTGATGGTGGGAAGGAGGTGTGCCTGTAGAGGGAATGAGATTGCCAGGCCCTGTCCAGAGCCCAATCCTTCCCTCTCTCTCCAGATATTCTCCTGTGCCCTAGCTGGTTTGGTGACCTTTTCCCCTGTGGTCATGGCCTCGTGTTGTCTGCAGCCCCAGGACCCGTGCAAAAGGCCAGGGCAGCCCACAAGCTGCATTTGCCAAATCTGTATCCCTGCCTTGGTTAAGGGAGGTCTGAGAAGTGACCCAGGCTCTCCTAGGAAAAGGAGCCCACAGATGCCATCTGAGGGTGGGAGCTGTGCCTGGCACAGGGCGCCTCTCCCAGGTGTTGGTCTCAGCTCACCCTCTCTCACTTGACACTTTCAATCCCCTAGGGCGAGGGATGCAACCATACAGCACAGGCAGGGCTGGAGGGCCAGGATGCACGTGGTGAAAGAGGTGAGTCACAGCAAGGAGCTTCCTGGGCTGAGGAGGGCAGGATGGTCGAGTGCCTGGAGGAGTGAGATGAGCAGATGTGCTGGACCAGGACTCTTGGAATTAAGAGTAGCTTTGTAAATATTCTGCTTTAGGATGACTACATGCCCAGGGAAGGGAGAGTCAGTCCCATCCTTCTCCAGCAACCAGCTGTATGGGGGCACTGTGAGAGATGGACAAGGCTCCAGAGCTCTCTGCTTCCACAGGGCACCAGCTGGGCTCAGTGGCAGCGCAGCCATAGGTGCCCTGCTCAGAGCCTTGGAGTTGCCTGAGTAGGATCAGAATCTGTAAGGCAGTCCCATGGCTGCTGTAGGCCTGGAGTCAGCACAGTGCCCACATGGCATCAGCCTGTGCCAGTGAGAAATCACCTGGATGATCCACAGGCACCTGTCAGGGCATGAGGTGTATGTGGATGTGCTGTCTGTGCTGTGGTTAGTGGGAATATGAGCAGTGCTAGGGTCACAGACCTCTGGCCCATTTTAGGTACATTTGTGCTGCAGATGTGAGGAAGGTGACAGAGGGAGGGAGGTGATGAAGCCACTGGAAACTCAAGAGAAGCAGAGAAACATGGGCCAAGAGCTCCCACCTTCAGGAGATGAGAAAGAACTTGCAGTACCAAACCATTCCTGTCTGATGCCAGGCAGGACAGTGAGCTGTGGATTGCCTTCATCTCTCTGCCTGATGCTCTGGGTGTCTGCTGACAGTGAGGGTAGCGCAAGGCAGCTGGCCCAGGTATAGACACCTCACCCACGGCACCCAGCTACATTTAGTTAGCTAAATGTTACCCTTCCTGAGCTGTCTGATCCTAAATATGCACTTGAACTTCTCAGGGATGGCACTGTGGGGCACTACGTGCTCCTGTTCATGTCCATCTGATGTCCTATGGTCCTTTTGCCCTCACCAGCAGGCTCCAAACCACAGCGTTGCATGGAACAGAAGTTGCACATAGTTCTGAAAGTCTTCAGCTCTGGGAAAGACACACACACAGCTCCTGAGCAGTGCCAACAGTGTCCCTGCCCCGGGCTCACCCCACACTGCTCCTCCCTGGCTGTGTAAAGGGTGCCCCATGGCAGGTCTCTGGGGCAGGCACCGTGCTTGGTTCGTGCTGTCTCACTGTGCCAGACCCTATGTAAGCCTGTCATAACACATTGCATGCCATAAATTTTAAGTGCTAATTATTTCACAAATGTCTTATTAGCACTAGAGCTGTTCTGGCATTTTCCAAAGGCCGAGTGCCATAGAAAGTTTATGAATGTGGCACCTGGGGACTTGGGTTAGTGCTGGACTTGGCAGTGCTGGGGGAACAGTTGGAGTCAATGATCTTAAAGGGCTTTTCCAACCTAAATGGTTCCATGACTGACAGCAAGGCTGAGGATGGGGGTGTGTAACAATCTGCTGGAGACATTGTGAGGCAGAGATGGACCCTGCCCTGGTCACACCACCAGCTTGGGCCTGACAGACAGGCTCTGCTTGGCTCCTGCTGTGTGGGTGACTCCTGAGCAGCTCTAAGGGCAGGAATTCAATAGCAGTTTCAGCCACTGACCCACCAATTAGGCCAAGCCCTGTATGCCACTTCCCTGTCCCCAAACAGACACTCCATTGGGAGTGGCCCCACAGCCCCAGTGCAGTGACCTCACTGCTGCAGCACAGCCAGGGCAGGGACACACCTGAGCAGGGGCTGGGGCCACTCTGGTCCCACATTTCCTCCATGCATGCAGTGTCCCACTCTTCCCATGTCACCTCTGAGCTGGGCAGGATGGGGGTGACTCATTGTATGGATCCCCCCAAAGCAGCCTTTGCCCCTCCTCTGTCAGAGCCCACACAGAGGCAGGGAGCATAATGGTCCCCTGCCATATCCATCCTGCACCCTGTCTTGCTTCTCCATGGTAGACCCAGAGCCTTCAATACCTTTTTGGGGGGCTCAGGCCAACCAAGGTGATGATCAGTGGCTTATACCCAGCCAGGGAACTTCTCTGCCTTAAACCAGGACTCTCTGGACAAAGTCCGTGGTGACTGAAGCCTTCCAGTCTTTCTTCAGTGGAGCAGATGCTCCGTGCTTAGGACATCTCTTTGACAGCTTCCTTTGACCTGAGTCCATGAAGGTTTCTGAATGTTCTTGTGTTCCCAAAGGCTGGTCAGAGCCCTTGGGGTCAGGGTGGTGGCCAGTGCCTGGTCTACCCCAGCAAGGGTGGGTGGCTGGGAGTTGGCCCTGCAGCTGGAGCTGGCACCCAACACCACCAATCCCTGCTGAGAGTTTTGGATTTGCCTCTGCAGGCACGCTCCTGAATGTCAGTGTGAGTGACCATGACCGGTCAGACTCCCTCCTTCTGTCCTGGGATGAGCCAGAGGGAGGTGCCAGGGGATATTTCCTTGCCCTGTCCCCCCTGGGGTCAGACATGCTGCTGCAGAATGGGTCTGCTGGACCCAACACCACCAGCTTCTGGTTCCATGGGCTGACTCCTGGCACGCGCTACGAGATCGAAGTGACAGCCACGCTGGCCTGCATGGACACCACCAGCCAGACCATCACAGCACAGACAAGTAAGGCCTCCCCCAGGACCTCAGTGCTCCTTTCAGTGTTTGTTGTGCTGTTTGGAGTCCTACTTGTTTGTGGGAGGTTGGGCTTTTCCTCACTTTCACAAGAACTAGGGTCCTTCCTGGGTCCCCAGAGTCTTAGGGGTTATTCCCTCATCCTTGTGGAGGAAGGGTCCTGCCCCTGCACCTTTTATGGGCTGGGTTCATGCTGTATCTTCTCCTCCTAGAATAATGGAGGTAATGATGGATCAGCCCATGATGTGGCTTGCAGAGAGCTGAGGGAAATGTCATGCCTGGAATCAAGAAATGGCTACAAGGAAGGAGCATCTGCTCCACAGTTTTGGGACATCCCTGTCAATCACTGCTCACCCCCAGGCTTTGCTCTGTGCCAAGGGCTGGAGAAGGGGGCAGGGCTGGTGGCTCTACAGCCCAGGTGGGGATGGCAGCCCTTGCCTGCACCTCTCCAGAAGATCCTTGAGTAAATCAAGTGGAAGTGGGAAACCTGGAAAAGGAGAGTAGAGCTGGAGGGAGGAGACTGAGCAGTGGAAGGGTTGGTGTCAGGCAGCAGTGGCAGAAGCAGAAGCTGGTTGTCACAGAAAGGCAGGTAGCAGGACCCACAGGGCCAGCAGAAAAAGAGGACATGTCAGCAGGTGAACTTCCAGGTGATGATGGCGTCACCTTTATGTGTTGGCCCTGACCAAGCTTCCCTGCTCCGTTCAGAGGAACTGCTGAGACTGATCCAAGGGGATGGTGCAGCCCACACAGCCCGTAGGAGGTTGGTGAGTGGCCAGGGAGGTCATGGGGCTGTGCTTGGGGAATCCCTGCTGAAGCCCCTCTGCTCTGGAGGCAGGCTGAGAGAGCCGGGGCTGTTCAGCCTGGAGAGGAAAAGGCTCCAGGGTGATCGTAAAATGCCTTTTAGTATCTAAAGGGGATTTGAAAATAGAGAAATAGGGGCTTTTTACATAGGCAGATAGTGGCAGGACAAGAGGGAAGAGTTTTAAACTGGTAGAAGAGAAGTTTAGATCAGATTTTGGGAAGAAATTCTTCCCTGTGAGGGTGGTGAAGCCCTGGCACAGTTTGCCCAGAGAAACTTTGGCTGCCCCATCCCTGCAAGTATCCAAGGTCAGGCTGGACAGGGCTTGGAACAGCTTGGGCTAGAGGAAGGTGTCCCTGCCATGGCAGGGCATGGGACTGGGTGAGCTTTAGGGTCCCTTCCAACCCAAACCCTCCCAGGATTCTGTGACTGGGTCCTGTGAAGCTGCCTGGCAGGACCTCCCCAGGCAAAGGCAAGTTCCACCAGGCTGTGAGCAGCTTGCCAGCTCATGCTCTCGCAGAAGCAGGCAGCAGTGTCTGTCCATGTCCCATGCAGGTCCCTCACCCGTCCGCAACCTGACTCTGAGCAGCGATGGCAGCTCCGCCTCGCTGCGCGCGGCCTGGGCACACGGGCACGGCCAGCGGGACGGCTACAGCCTGGCACTGTGGCACAGCCACTCCCAGAGCCTGGTGAAGAACGTGTCCCTCCTGCCCAGCGCCTCCACCTTCCTCTTCGACGGGCTCCTGGCTGGCAGCGAGTATGCCCTGAAGGTCAGCACGCTGGCTGGGTCCCTGCAGGCCAGCACCAGTGCCCACCAGTGGACAGGTAGGGAGTGATGGGTGCGCTTGCCCAAGGAGGAAGGGGTGGTAGGAGGGGTTTGGCAGGAAGGATGCAGCACAAGTGCCCGGCTGGCAAGGGGAGGAGGTCTCCAGGCTTGGGATGGGAGGTTGTGAATGGTGGGGAACAGTTGGAGTGTTTCACATGCCCACTGTGAGCTGAATGCCTGGGCCAACGGGAAAACTTTGCACCTTGGGCCTGCCTTGCAGCACCCATAGCTTGGATTTGTCTGTTCCCAACAGACAGGGGCAGTCTGGGGCTGCTCTTGGCTGCTGAGAGCTGCAGAAGTGCTGCAGTACCCAGTCTGCCACACCTCTGCCCTGCAGCCTGAAAGAGCATGACAATGTGGAGGGACCTCAAGGGCCCTCCAACCTGTGTGGGAGGGGGCATGGGAGAGACATCCCTTAGTAGACCCCTACCAGACCTTCAGCCCCTATGCCATAGAGTGCAGCTGTGGGGGCTCCTGGGGAGAGAGGAGGCTCCAGGGACCACCAGCACCAGTGCTGAACCTTCTGTGTCCTGCTTTTCCCCTCAGCTCCCTCCATCCCCACCCAGCTGAGGCTCAGCCCAGGTTCCAGCACCAGCCTCGTCGCCTCCTGGGCAGGTGCTGCAGGGGCCGCCTGGCTCCACCTGGAGCTCCGCAACCTCCTCACCCAGAAGGTCAGCATGACCCTGTCAGCCAGGAGGGGCCTCAGCAGCTACACCTTCCAGCATCTCCACCCTGGCACTCACTACTGGCTGGGGCTCAGTGCCACAGCTGGGCCCTACACGGCCATGGGACCCAATGCCACTGCCTGGACATGTGAGTATCACCTTGTTCTCCCTGCCTCTGATCCAGCCTCTGAATACAAAGGTCTCCTGCCAAAGTGCAGCCTCCTTGGGTGCACAGGGTGATTTTGCTTGGACCTGCCAAAAGCTGCTCCAGGACCCAGCTCTGGGGCACTGCTGTAATGGGGCCAGTGAATCCTTTCAGCAGGTGGATCCCCTGTGCTGGCCTGCTTCTCTCTGGGATGCAGTGGGAGCAGCCTGTGGGCTCTCCCCTAGGAGGAGGATGGAAGGGCAGCAGATCCCAGTGGTCTTCAGTGCTGCTGGGGCTTGGCTCTCATGTGCCTCAGGGCTGTACAAGGGCCGCAGAAAAAATGGGGCAAGGGGGCAGCAGCTGAGCTGGTTTGAACTGGAGGCCTCAGGGAGGGGCTTATGAAAGAACAAGAAAGACTTCTTACATGGGCAGAGAGTGATAGGACAAGGGGTGAATGGTTTTAAACTAAAATAGGAAAGATTTAGATTAGATGTTAAGAAGAAATTCTTCCCTGTGAGGGTGCTGAGGCCCTGGCACGGGGTGCCCAGAGAAACTTTGGCTGCCCCTTCTCTGGGAGTGTCCAAGGCCAGGTTGGACAGGGCTGGAGGCCTGGGATAGTAGAAGGTGTCCCTGCCCATGGCAGGCGATGGGAATGAATGAGCTTTAGGGTCCTTTTCAATCCAAACCATTCCACAGTTCTCTGGTTCTATGAAATGGATTTTCGGTGCTCTTTGATTGTTGTCAAGGATATGTTGTGGTAGCACCTGATCACCTCATCCTGGTGGATGTTCCCAACATGATGGGTGCTGTGCAAATACAGCCAAGGAATCTAGGAGCCTCTGGCAGGTCAAAACAGTGAGAGCAGCCCTCCAGAACCCACTATTGCACCATTCCCCCAGCCCACTCTCTGCTCTGGCCTCAGGCTGATGAGGGCCCTGAATGAGGGGGACTTTGCTGGTGACACCATGTCCAAAGCCCAGTAAAAAGTTCCAGTCCTGAACTTGCTCTCCCGGATGTTTCCAGAAAAACCAGGAGGGAAATGAAGGGGGCAGAGCAGCTTCACACGGAACACCAAGGTAGCATTGGTCCTCAAATGATGGAGGCGCCGAGCTGCAGACTCAGAGCTGCTGTGGCCAGTGACTTGTCCTGGCACTGGCCAAACCACTGGTCATGTGTATGCTGAGAGGAGCTGGGTGCCACCAGGTGTCAAATCTCCAGCTCCTTCCTGCTCCACCTGCCAGCCCGGGAAGCTGGAGCCTGCTCCCTGCTCCCTGCAGATGGGATTTTGGAAGGCCTCCAGAGCTCCAGCTGGTTTCTTTCTGCTCTGGAGTGAGGCTGATCCCTGCAGTTGCTGTCTGCAGCTCTGACCTGCTCCACTGAATAAAATTCCCCCATGCCAGATGCATGAGCCAGGGGCGTCTGGCCAGGAGTTTGGTCCAGGCCAGTTCCTGGGAATATCAGTAAGCTCATGGTGGGATGTGAATGGAGTGGAAGGAGACTTTTAGGAATTTCTCAGCAAGGCTGCCAGCTTTGTCTGGACTCCGTTAGTCCAGGAATGCTTGTGCTGGGGAGTACAGATGGCTCGCTCCAAAAGGATGTCTAAGGCTGGACGTAACCCTGCAGGAATGAGGCTCAGGAGAGTAAGGGGTACAGAGTACCCCATAACCCTGACTCACACAATCCTATTCCCTTCCAGACCCCTTGAGTCCCGACAATGTGACCCTGAGCAGTGCAGAGGAGCAGAACTCCTTACAGGCTCGCTGGAGTGTCCCAGGGGGACAGAGGGACTTCTACCTGGTGACACTGCAGGAGGGAGAGGACAGTGCTCCAACAAGGAACATCTCCGTTGGTGGGGACAACGATCACGTCACCTTCCACGGGCTGAGCCCTGGCCAGCAGTACTCTGTCCAGGTGGTGGTGGTGGCAGGGCCCTACAAGGCATCAGCACAGAGCACAGCAGCCTGGACAGGTGAGCAGAAAGCCTATGTGTGGCCCTTGGGGCTGTTCCTGCTGCCTGGAGGGGGCTGGGGGTGAGGCAGGCACAGGGACAGGCCACCCAGGACACCTGGTCTCAAGAGTAGGTTGTGGATCAGAGCAGGAAATTCTGCCTCCCCACAGTTCCTGGTGAGGGTGGGCTCAGACGTCCTGGGCAGGCTTGTGCCAGCAAGTGTCAGGCACAGATCAAGACCAGATCCTGCTTCGTGCCTTTTGCACTCTGGCAGGTTGCAGGCAGCTTCCTGTCTTCCCCTCACCACAGCTGGATGGGTGGGCAGGGAAGCACCACCAGCCTCCCCAGAGGCATCTCCATGTGCTCAGTCTCTCCTGGGTGACCTGTGGAGCCACAGTTGCTGCTGTCCCAGAGCTGCCACTCTGGGAAGGGATGACTGGAGCAGTACACAGTGTGGGGAGGTACCCACCCAACCTGGGGGCACTAAGAGCTCTCCCTGCAGCCCCTTCTGCCCCTGTGTGGGGTGGAGACAACTGCAGTGTTGCAGAATCACAGAACTGTTAGGGTTGGAAGGGACCTCTGGAGATCATCTCGTCCACCCCCCCTGCTCTAGGGTCACCTAGAGCAGTTTGAAAAGCAGAAAATACCTTGTGAAAGCAATCTTCCTGCCTGATGCACTGCCCCCTGTCATGCTGTCCTTGTCCCTTGCAGAACCACAAGCACCATCTGGCGTGAGCCTGTCCAGCCAGGGTAGCCCCCACAGCCTGCTGGCCAGCTGGGAGGAGGCCACAGGAGAGGGCTATCTGCTGGTCCTCAGCCTTGCAGAGCACCCTGTGAAGAACAGCTCCTTGCCCAGGGGTGTCACGAGCTTCACCTACGAGGGCCTCCACCCTGGGACCCTGTACACCTTTGAGGTCAGCACTGTGGCTGGTCCCTACACATCCTCACCCCGCTGCATCTCCAACTGGACATGTGAGTGCCACAGCCCCAGGTTCCCACTGGATCCTGCCCTTCCCCTGATGTCACACCTCAGGGCACTGACAGCACACATCTTCTACAGCTTAATCCAATAACTGGGCAAAAGGCTCAGCAGGAGGCAGAGGTGCTGCTGGATGTGTCTGACCCTGCTATTTCCCAAACACCAGGCACAAGGAGCAGCTGAGCCCAGTGCCCTTTTCCTTAGCCACCCTCCTGTGGCACTGCTCAGGCTGTCACTGCCTTCAGCCATCCCCTCCACCACCCACCACCTCCTCCAGTACCAATTTTTTCTCTGCCAGTTTGAGCTGTACTGGCCCAATCCCTGCTGGACTGGTGTGTGGGTGTCAGCAGGGGTGGCAGTGGTCAAAGCACCTGGATGCAGGTGTTCCCAGGGAAGGGACTCCTGCCCCAGCACATTTGGAGCTGCACTTCTGCCAGGTGATTCTAGACCTTTCCTTTTCTAGACCCTTTGCCCCCAGAGCAGCTGACCCTCAGCAATGGGGGCCACAGCACCTCTCTGCAAGCCTCCTGGAGAGCAGTTTCCTCTGGCAACACTGGCTACACAGGGACCCTCTGGGAAACCAAGTCCAAGGAGCAGGTCAAGAATGTGACCATGGGGAGTGACTGGACCAATGTCACCTTGGAGAACCTGGTCCCTGGGCGGCAGTACACGCTGGAGATGGCTGCTATGGCTGGGCCTTACAGATCCCCTGTGAGATCAGCCACTGACTGGACATGTGAGTGTGGCAGTCCTACCTCACTCTGCTGCAGGTCACAACCACCCTGTGAGAGTAGAACGCTCAGAGTCAGAGTGGCCCATGTGTGGGGAGGTGGGGAATCAGAGACAGGGCTGCATAGAGAGACAGAATGGGCGGTCAGCTGGAGCCACATTCAGCCATGTTGGAAGTAGAAGGGTCTGCAGTGCAGGAGGAACCCATCACTGAACAGAAAACATTCCCAAATGTCACCCTGGGGAAGGTGGGGACCCGCTCCTGTGTCTGCTGTGGAGCAGGAGCTCTGGCTGCTCTGGGTTTGCTGTGCTCACTCCTGACCTAACCCCAGCAGGCACAGAGAGGGGAGGGTGCCCAGGACAACCCCACAGCACAGCAGAGTCTCCTCTCACTGCTGTCTCTTCTCTCTCAGACCCCCTGGCTCCATCCGGCGTGACGCTGACCAACACCCGGCGCCCAATGGGGCCCTCCTCTCACTGCCTGGCTGTCTCTTCTCTCTCAGACCCCCTGGCTCCATCCGGCGTGACGCTGACCAACACCCGGCGCCCAATGGGGCTCTCGGCCTTCTGGGACAAGGCTGCTGGTGATGTGGACCAGTTCCATCTCCAGCTCTACAGCAAGAGCCATGCAGCACAGAGGAACACCTCAGTGGGGCCAAACACCCACAACTTCACATTCCTGGGGCTGTCCCCTGGCACTCAGTACTTCCTGAAGGTGACTGTCCTTGCTGGCCCATACAGATCCTCGTCACACTTTGCCACTGAGTGGACATGTGAGTCAGAAGTATTCCCAGTCTCTTGCAGGGATGGGACATCCTGGCACTGCCTGCAAGACTAGCAGTGACACAAACTTGTCTGGGTGGAGGGAGGGCTCTAGTGAGACCTGCATGCTTCCTGTCCTGGAAGACAGAGCACGTGTCCTAGGTTAGGTGCTGTTTGCTGCGCCACAGAAGATCCCTTTCCCCAGCTTAGGTTTTCCCCAGTCAAGTTGAACCTTCTGCCTGTACCACTGGTGATCTCAAGACCAGCCAGGGGCTGGTGGGAGAGGGATGTAAGAAAGGAAGCACAGAGACCTGTATGGGCTTGCTGCTCTCTGTCTGTGGAGCAGAGCAGCCCACTGGGAGCTGGGTGCTCTCAGCACCTGCCTGCCAGCAGCACCCTGGGGACATGGCAGCTTGCATGTCCCCCAGGAGAACAGTAACGGTGGTCAGGTGCCCCCACTTCTCTTTCAGCCCTGTGCAGAGGTGCAGGCTGTGCCCTGGCTTCTCCAGCTGGTTCCTCCATCACCTCATGGGTGTCCATGCTCTGCTTCCCTCTAGATCCTCTGTCCCTGGCTAACGTGAGTGTGCAGCCTGGCCGGGAACCCCAGGAGCTGCACGTGAGCTGGGTGGAGTCCGGAGGTGGCAGAGATCACTTGGTGCAGCTCTCAGTGGCTGAGTCCCTGTCCATCATCAGGAATGTGTCTGTCCCCCGTGGAGTGACCCAGCTGGACCTGGAGGGACTGGTGCCAGGCTCCCGGTACCGCGTGGAGATCATTTCCCAGGCTGGGCCTCATCGCATCTCCTCTCAGACTGCCATCGGCTACACTGGTAGAACACAGCTCCCCTGCTCCCACCAGCCTTGGGCATTGTGTGGATGCCCACAGTCCTCCAACTCCCAGCTTCATTCCCAAGCTAGAGTCAGTTGTGCCCAGCCCAGGTTTGTCCCAGTGACACTGTTTCTCTCCCACAGTCCCGCTGCCTCCTCGTTCCCTGTCTGCCAGCCCTGTCAGCATGGCCCGGGCTCTGGCTGTGCACTGGGAGGCTTCTCCTGGGCAGAGGGATGGATACCTGCTCAGCGTGCTCCAGGAGGGCTCTTCTGCACAGCCAAGGAACCTGGAAGCAGGGAAGGACAGCACCAATGTCACTGTGCCACAGCTGGAACCAGGAACATGCTACCTTGTTAGGATCTGGGCAGTGGCTGGGCCCTACCGCTCCCTCCCCGAGAACATCACCGGCTGCACAGGTCAGCATCTGACACCCACGGGTTATGGGATCAGTGTTGGCCCCTGAGGAGAGGAGAGGAGAGGAGAGGAGAGGAGAGCAGGAGGAGGGCACCCTGGCCTGGTTGCTGGTGAAGCTGGCCTGTGGTCACATCCTGCCTCTCACAGTCTCCATGTATGAGGATGGCTGCATGTTCAGAAGTGGATCTTTTCCGCTCTGACTCGTGTGTCTTATTTTTCCTCACAGTTCCTGCTGCACCAACAAACCTGAGCCTTACCAACCCAGGTAGCTCCTCAGAGCTTTACACATCCTGGAATGAGCCCCCTGGCAGGAGGGATCACTACCATGTTACTCTGTATAGCCTCAGCACCCAGAGCAGGATTCAGGTCCAGACCTTGAGTCCAGATGCTCTGAACATCACCTGGACTCACCTGGAAGCAGGCAGCAAGTTTGCTGTGCAGGTTACTGCTGTGAAAGGCTCCTTAGAAGCCTCTTCCATCAACGTCACCCAATGGACATGTGAGTTACTGGCTGGGTTGAGCACAGTGCCCCACTGTGAGCCTCCACCTGATCCTTCCAGAGCACCCACTGCCACCTTCCCCATCCCAAGCCATGCCCACAGCTTCTGCGTGATGGTCCCACCTTTCTGCTCACTGCCCTCACTCCATCCTGGACACAGAGCCAATCCCCTGATCCACCCCAGAGGCTCTGGTTATCTCTCCTGCCACAACCAGCTGCAGACCCCAGGGGTGATACGCTCAAAGCCATGTGCCCTGCCTAGCCCTTTGTGCCCAGGCTTCTCTCCAGAGGATCTCTGGTCCAGCCTGCCTGGAGGAGCCCTGGGCACAGCAGCCAGCTCTCAGCACTGAGCAGGAGGGCTAACTGTCTCCCTGTTGCTTTGCAGATCCCTTGGCCCCTGTGAACCTCACCCTGAGCAGCCCCTCAGGCTCAGCTCTGGTGGTGTCCTGGGCAGTGCTGGGCCGAGGGGCAGAAGGCTTCGTGGTGGATGCCCGTGACACAGTGTCTGGCACTCCCGTGGGGCACACGTTGCTGCCTGGGCATGCCAGGAGTCACATCCTGAGGAGCCTGAGCCCTGGCACCCAATACAGTGTGGCAGTGAGTGCCACAGCTGGGCCCTTCCATGCCAGCACCCCCAACCTCACCCACTGCACACGTGAGTGTGATGTTCTCCTTGCAGTGTTCTTCACCACATCTCCCCTTCCCAGTTCAGTCAGGGACCATACTGGAGCAGCTGTCATGCTTACTTCTGCCACCCATGCAAGTACCCAGTGCTTGTTCTCTGCTGGATGCAGCATGAGGAGTCTGTGCCACACCCTGTGCCACACTGTGGTAGCCACCCACAGCGATCCACAGTCTCAGCCAGCAGCCAGGCAGGAAACAGCTGCCACAGAGTCAGAGCCAGCCTGTGGCACCGTGCTGCTGCCCCAGCTCCTGCAGCAGAGGCTTGGCACAGATGTGGAGCTTCTCCTTGTGCTGAGCCCAGATGTGGCTCCTGGCAGTGACTTGTGTTTCCTCCCCAGGCCCGCTGCCCCCGGCCGCCGTGCGCCTGCTGAGCACGGGGCACCCCGACAGGCTGAGCGTGGCCTGGGGGGCTGCAGCTGGGGGCAGGGATGGATACACACTGACCCTGTACCGCGCACCTCTGGGCACTGTGGCAGCCACAGCCTCGCTTGGGAGAGACACCCACAACTTCACCTTCACGGGGCTGGCCCCAGGGAGCAAATACCTGCTGGAGGTGGCATCTGTGGCTGGTTCCTTCAGGGCACCTGCAGGGAACGTCAGCAACTGGACATGTGAGTACCTTTTGTGAGGGGATGTGTGTGGCTTCTCTGCTGTTTTTTTCTGCGTCTGTCAGGGTCAGGATTGAAGGCACTTGAGATGATAGTTCGTGTTCAGACTCAGGTGTTTATTGTTTCTTACCGGTGTTTCTTACCAGCCTCAAAACTGTGAGTTCTGCAGTCCTTCATTAGCAAGGCACAAAATGGCTAACTATTGTTACAAGGTATTTTAAGGCTAAACTATCCAATTAAGAAATTATTTTCCCTTTTAACCCAATAACTGATCCCTTGAAGCCCACAATGTGGACTTTTCTGTCCAATCACAAAATACCATCCAAACCCATGGAGAAGAAGGAAGAAGAAGGTAAAGAACAACCACCTGCCTCCACACTAAAACCTCCATCTTTCTTCATATTTATTTCTGTATTATAAAACCCCAAACTCTTAAGTTTTCCACCCTGTGATATTACACACTTCTAACCAACTCCACACCTGTAATCCCAGTGCTATCAATCAGTTTTGGAAGCCTTCTCCACAGCCTCAGGTCAGTGCAGTGTTCTCTTGGGGGTCAGTGCCTGTCAGCACAGACAGTCTGAAATTCTCAGCATCCAGGGTTCCAACAGATGTGTGCCTTGCTGGGGAGTCAGGAAAGCTCATAGCCAAGAACATGGCCCTGCTGACCTTCACAGCAGACTCCAAGCAATGGCAGTGAGCAGAGCTCTGCCCATCTCATCAGCTCCACCAGCCTGGGTGAGGGCAGCTGGAGCTCCGGGGCCGTGCTTCAGGGGAGAGCTGGGGAGGAGGGAGCAGCAGCAGGGTGTTCACCTTCCCCTGTCCCCTGGCTGGCTGCGTGTTCCCTCCTCACCCCTCCCCAGGGGACAGGGCTGTCCCTGCTCAGACAAGCACAGAGAAATTTGCAGCAGCTTTGAGCTGCCTCTGGGCTGGTGGGTGGAGCCACACAGTGGAGGCTAAGGGCGCTGTCCATCTAGAAGATCTTCTAATATATATATATTTTATTTATTTTATCTAGATTTTAATACCTTTTGTGTTAATAATATAAAAATAAGTTAAAACATTTCTAAATAATAACCTTTAATAAGTTGAGTGTTAAAAATATTAAGTCAAGTTTCACTATATTTAAGTACTCTTAAGCTACATTTTATCACTTTACTATTCTATTAAAATTAAGTTTATTATTCTTTGTTATTAAAGTTTACTCATTCTAAGTTTAAGTGCTGTTTAATATCAATTATCCTAAATCTTGTTAAAACTTATTTATCTAGACTGTAAAATACATAGTTAATTTTCTCAGAGAAGTAAGTGTGGTGCACCCATTCTGATGGCACTACAGGAGACCCAGGCAGTGTCCTGGGGCCCTTTGCTGACATGTGTCCTGTGCTGTGTTGGCAGACCCCTTGGCACCCCGTAACGTGTACATGACGAACCAGGGCTACCCCAGCAGGCTGAGTGCATCCTGGCGAGCTGAGCCCCAAGGACAAGACAGTTACAGGCTCCTCCTCTATCACTCGGGCTCTGGCATTGTGGCAGCCAATGTTTCTGTTGGGAAAGGCACCAGCAAATTCACCTTTTCTGGCCTGGCTCCAGGACACAAATACCTGCTGGAAGTGGTGTCCATGGCAGGGCCCTATGCAGCCTCGGCAGGGAACATCAGTGACTGGACAAGTGAGTGTCAGAGCTGGAGATTCTGCATCCTGCACGAGGCTCAGCCTTCCCATCTGGGTGGGCTCAGCACCTGCAGGGGGAAGGGCAGAGACTTAGCCAGGGAGCTGTAGGGTCAGAGAATGGTTTGGGTTGAAATGGAAGGGATCTTTTAAGGCCATTTAGTCCAACCCCCCTGCTAGTGGCAGGGACATCTTCAACTAGATCAGATTGCTCAGAGCCCTGTCTAAGCTGACCTTGGATATTTCCAGGGATGGGATGAGATGGGGGGGGAGGTACCAGTGTAGCAGTGGGATCATGGGCTGGGCAAGCCCTGGTGGATGGGAGAGTGGGGCAGGGCAGTCCTGCTGCCTGTGGCAGGGCCTGGCAGCCAGCAGTGCTGTTCCAGGAGGCAGCCTCAAGCCCATGGCCTCACTGGTTGAAGTCTGGCTCCTCCAGGCACATGTGGCTGAACAAGGGCACAGGATCCCATGGCAGCAGTGCTGCTCTGGTAGATGACACCCACAGCCTGGGGGACCATGAGGCCTCACAGCTGGGGGGGACACCCCACCATTCCTGCTGCATTTTTTCCAGGCACTCAGAGAATTGCTGGCATAGGGTATAAGGGGAGGATGGGCTTTTTTTTTCTTTTTATGGAATGTGGAAATGCAGATAAGCACAATAAGCCTTTTCATGTGCTCGTCCCCACAGTCCCCACACTTTGCTTGGGGAATCCAGCAGTCCCTGCTCCCACGCTCGGCCATCCCCTGGCAGGGTGCAGGGAGTCATGTGCAGAGCCCTTCGGGCAGGTTTCTAATGAAACTTGCTAATTAGTAGGAAGAAGAATCCGTCTCCTCACACTCCTCACTCTGCATGTCCTTCAGCTGCCATTTAAAGGTCATTTCTGGCAAACAGCAGCTGCAGGAATGTTATCATTGAACATGTGGGGTCTCCTTGTGTCACCCACCTCCTCCTTGTATCTCTGTAGAATAGAAGAGAGCAGATGCATACCAGTAACTCTTCCTGGTGTGGTTTTTGTTGTAGCCCCCTCAGTTCCCCAGAATCTCTCGGCGGTGGCTGAAGGGAACAACACCATGCTGATCTCCTGGGGCAGCATCTCTGGCCAGCAGGACGACTGCCAGCTGTGGCTGCGGGACCCCCGGAACAGCTCGCTGCCCTGGAGGCACTCCCTGGGCAGAGGACAAGTCCAGCACCTCCTCCAGGGGCTCATCCCAGGCAGGAACTACTCAGTGTCCTTGAGCTGCGTGGCTGGGCCCTACTGGAGCAGCACCAAGCCCTTGGCAGTGCCCGTGGGTGGGTACACGCTGCCACGGGGAGGGAGCGGGGCAGGCTGGAAGAGGGAGGAACACCTGGGTGGCCTCGAGTCTGGAGTGTCAACAGAGGCAAGGGAAGGGGAAGTCTTGTGGTGGGAGATAGGGAAGCCAGTGAGGTGACCCTCTGGTAGCCACTGGCTCCCTGAGCTAGCCCCACCACAGAGATCTCCTGGCTACCTGTGAAGCAGAGCAGGCTTTGCAGATCTCCACTGGTCGATGTCTCCTGTCAGATGTGAGCTCAGGCCCTGCCCATTCCCACTGCCCTGTGGCCCATGGCACAGCAGGCTCCCAGGCTGCAAGTGTCCAGCTCTGCTCATCTCACTGGCCTGGGGAGAACATGCTGACAGGGACAGACATTGGGATTTCTCTGATCCAGTGAGTCCAGAGCCTGCCCTGTCTCCTTTGCAGAGCCAAATCCAGTGAGGGATGTGCAGTGCCTACCAGAGTCGAGGAGCCTTTACTTGAACTGGACAAGCTCTCCTGGCGATGTGGAGGCTTATGAGGTGGTGACAGAGAGACTTTCTGAAGGACCCCCCAACTCCAGGCTTACCATGAGCATCCCTTCAAGCGAGGCCAGTCTGGAGGGGCTGGAGCCAAACTCCTCCTACCAAATCCTTGTGAGCACCGTGGGCATGAACGCACTGAGGAGCCAGGCTGTGACTCTGCTCTGCAGCACAGCAGTGGAGCGTGAGTCCCCTCCTTCCACAGGGAAACACCCCAGGAGAAATCACCCTGTGTTGCTGGTCAGAGCTGGGGGCTCTTTGGGGTGCCTGAGAGCCCCACAGGGTCGCACTGCCCTGCAGTGGGTTGGGGCTCTGGCTGTGCTGCTGGGACCAGTGCCAGGCTGAGCAGGGGGGTTTGGGAGCAGGGACACACTGAGGCTCTGCCTGCTGGTTGCTGTTGCAGCCCTGCCCCCGCCCCTGCGTGCAGACGTGTTCCCAGTGGAGGCCAGCTCCACGGTCATCATTTCACCCGAGCTCTTCAGTGAGGAGAACGGCCAGATCGAGTACTACGGAGTCATTGCTACCACCAACGAGTCACGTAAGTGTCCCTGCATGGCCCACTCTGTGCTGGCTCCCTGGAGGGCAGCAGGACCCCTGGGCATCGCTTTGGGACTGTCACTGTCACCTTGCACGTTCCCCTGCAGTGCTGAGGCCCACCCAGGAGATCATGTCCAGCACATGGTACGACCACTACTATGGGACAGAGGACTCCTACCTGGCAGTGCTCATTCCCAACCCCTTCCACCAGAGGAGCTCCCCCGACACCTGGAGGGTGCCTGTGGGGACAGAGGAGTGTGGCCAGTCCAGGGCCACCTGCAATGGGAAGCTGAAAGCCAACGAGCAGTACAGGTGAGAGATGGCAGCATCCTTCCTGAGGGGAAGGGGCTGGAGGAGAAAAAGGACTGCATATGTCCCTGCAAGAGTGCCACCAGTTCCCTGGATGTCACCTCAGCCTCACACCCCCAAATCCCCAAAGGTTCTCCACCAAGCAGCATTTGAGGAAGGCGGGGCTTGGCATGCAGGGAATATTTGGCAGCATAGTGGGCAGGGAGGGGGAAAGCTGAGGTTGCCAGGGGCTGTGTGTGTTGTCCCAGGAGCTGAGCAGATGTCCAGCCCCAGGATAGAAACTGAAACAGATGCTGTAATTTGTAGGACCTTCATTTGTGACTCAGAACCATGTGCAGATGGAGCAAAAATGAAACTGATTTGGAAACAGTTCCAGTGGTGCCTACTCAGTGGGAGGTCCAGAGGCTGGGGTTAGCAAACACTCAGGCTGAGGTCTGAGCTCCCCATGAGACGCACACATGGATTCCAACAGTCATAAATTGAGTCTTATTTGACAGTGAATAGGATCCAGGAACATGGAGGTACATATTTTCTTGTAGGGTATCTTTAAAACTGCTGATGGAAAACCAGGTTTTCCACTGCTAACAAAGAATAGTATCTTTAATCAGTCCTGTTAATTTAGCAGCTCACAGTTCCATCAAATGGGGACCACATCCACAGGCATTTCTCTGATCCTCCAGAGTCTGGAAGGTTATTCCATTTCACTTCAAAGAAACTGGCAGCAAGGATGGCTGATGGTGATAAAGCCATTGAGAGCATTAGGAAAAGAGAATGAGAGTCCGTGGGAGAGTGTGTGCATGAGAGAGCTTCCCTTTCCACTGGGAATAAAGGGAGAATTAAATCTGCCCGTGAGTTTTGTGGTGAGTGGGTGTTGGGGTTGGACCCTTCCTTCCTTCCTTCCTTCCTTCCTTCCTTCCTTCCTTCCTTCCTTCCTTCCTTCCTTCCTTCCTTCCTTCCTTCCTTCCTTCCTTCCTTCCTTCCTTCCTTCCTTCCTTCCTTCCTTCCCCCTTCCCTTCCTTTCTCGACTTCCTTTCCCTCCCTTTTCTACTGTTCCTGTGTGCAGACATGGAAAACATTACCTGATTCTGAGTTGTTTTTTTCTTCCTTCCTTCCTTCCTTCCTTCCTTCCTTCCTTCCTTCCTTCCTTCCTTCCCCCTTCCCTTCCTTTCTCGACTTCCTTTCCCTCCCTTTTCTACTGTTCCTGTGTGCAGACATGGAAAACTTTACCTGATTCTGAGTTGTTTTATATTCACACCGGTGCCAAACAGGGGCTCTTAAGCTGCTGGTTAGGACAGCACTGGCCCAGATTGGTGATAACAGCCAGAGGGTGGAAAATGGCTGTTTTTCTCAGGGGAAAAAAAAAAAGGGGGGGGAGTTTCCAGAGAGCCATTGCCTGGGAAATTCCAGCCAGACTGGGGTCATGGAGAGCAGAGAGCAGTTCTGGTGTGCTGTGTAATCCTGCCTGGCAGGAGAATGGCTGACAGTGCATTCCCATCCCGTGTCCGTCCCAGGTCCCTGGGCTGGCTGGGGATCTCAGAAGGTTTCAGAAGCCTGGAGACCAATCACCCATCACATCTGTCTGTCGTGTATTCCTTGTGCCTCACCCTCAGGCAGGACTTGCTGGTTCACCCCTCAGCCTCAGCTCTGCAGGGACAGAGAGGGGTCAGCTGGGATGGAGAGGGAGCAGCAGGGCAGAGATCTCAGACTAAGGGCTGTCAGCAGCCTCGGGGGGCTTCAGCAGCAGCACAATCTCCCCCGGCACTGATGAGCCAGGCACAGGCTCTGAACCTGCCCCACCCACTTGGAATTCTCACTCCAGCCGGGACCTCCCATGGGGAGCAGCTTATTCAGGGACAGCAGCCCTGTCATTAGTCCACCTGCCATGATTCAATCCCATGAGTCAGTAACATGTACTGAACTGTCCAGTTATTCAGGACTAGAAGGTACTTTTACACCACAGCTTTCTTACTTTTACACCATGGCTTTCTTTCAGTTTGGCTGCCCTAAAAACATAAATGTTCTCAGTACAAACAGCATTTGACCTAAATATCCTAAATATCTGACCTAAATATCTTAAATATCCAGCCTAAATTTCCTCAGTACATAGAACACTCAGCCTAAATATCCAACCTAAATATCCACAGTAGACTGTGCTGCTGAATTAATGATTATTAGGGTGGTGAAAAGCTGACAGCTCATTCCCACTCAGGCTTTCTGTTCTTGTTTCCTGTCTTTCAGTGAGTTATTTATCCACAAGCCCTCATCTTTCATGCCTTGGCATCTGCAGGCTCACTTTTCAGAGGAGGTCTGTGCCCTGGCAGCTGGGTGTGGGGACCCACTCACAGTTAACAAAACCTTGGCTGCTAAAATCCTTTAAAAGCTACCTTTAAAAGCTTTGGCTTGCATTTAGGGCACGAGAAGGGCCCTTCCAGGTCACCTGCTCAGAAGGAAAGTCAGAGAGCTGTGGGCATTGGTGTGCCTGCTGCCAGGAGGGGATGAGGGGCAGATCTGCACAGGGAAGAGGATGCACCAGCCACTCGTGTGTGTGCAAGGAAGGGTCTGGGCAGGCCTGGCCCTTCCAGCTGAAATGTCAAACAGGACTCAGCTCTTTCCTGTCAGCCTTGCTAACCAGCTGACATGAACTATGTGGTTTTAATTTTTTTACGTCCTAGAAGAGACCAGACACTATCATTCTCTGCAGATAACCCTTGGGAGGAGAGGTGCTTCCCATTTGTGCTTTCTGAACAATTTCTCATGCTTTCCCAAGTGGAACAAACTTGTCCAAGAGGCAGAAAAGGGAGGGAAGGCCATTTCCACACATCCCCTAAATCCATAACAGCAAACCAGCTTTTTCCAGGCAGCAGTTCTGTTCCTCTGGGTCCTGCCTGCTGGGTGCTGGGTTCTGGGTGCTGTGCTCAGCTCTGGCTGTCCTGACTCCAGACTCTGCTTTGCCTTTAGGTTCAGCATTGCTGCCTTCACCAAATATGACCCAGTAGCCCCTGCTGTGACATTCACCATGTTCTCAGGTAAGCTGGAGAATAGCATCTTCCCTACCTGGCTGTGTAGGTCAGAGGTAATGAGCAGCCAGAGGGAGCTCATAGGCTATAGTAAATATAATACATAGAATAAATGCAGCCATATATAATAGAATTATAAAATGGTTTGGGTTGGAAGGGATCTTAAAGCTCATATAGTTCCACTCCCTGCCATGGCAGGGACATCTTCCACTGTCCCAGGTTGCTCCAAGCTCTGTCCAGCCTTGGGCACTTCCAGGGACGGGGCAGCCACAGCTGCTCTGGGCACCCTGTGCCAGGGCCTCCCCACCCTCATCATAAAAAGCTTTTTTACTGATTCTTCTCTCTATACTTTCTCCTTTCAATTCCAGCTGCTGGATCCAGTGCAGACACAGCTCCACTCTCAATGCCAATAATCGCTGGAATCATTGTGGGATTTCTTCTGACACTTGCAGCTGTTTTTGCTTTGGTTTACTGGAAACAGCTCAAGGCAAAGAGGTGAGAAGGAGCCATATCTTACCTGTTGAGTGCAGGCTGAGATAGCCAACCTTCAGTGCCGAGCCTGGAGGAGAGCAGGGAGAGGGTACAAACAGAGACTTGGACAAACTAGCACGTGGGCTGGTGGAATTGTGCCTGGCAAGCTCAGAAGCCAAAGGCAGAGGGGAGAGAGGAGCTGCCCACGTGCAGTTAAGTCCCAAAACCCTACAGGTGTGCAAGGCAGTGTGCCTGCCAGTGGCACACAGTACCTCATGGCATCCATCTCTGCACTGCAGGCAAAAGTAACAGCTCCTGTGTGTAGCCACAGCTCTCTTCACAGAGAGCAGCAGGCACAAGTTTTTAAGGATTTCTCTCTGGGAAAGGTAGTGAGAAGCTCAAAGAAGAAGAGAAAACAATTCTTATCTTTATTTACTGTTTTTGTTGGTTTGCACATGTGGAATGTGTTATAGAGATTACTTACTCAAAGTGATTTGTTAATTAGACACTAGTGAAAGTTGGTTTATTCCTTAACTAATTAAATCTACGTGTATCATGACTGTCTGGAAACAGTCTTGGGTTTTTCTTTAGTATTTCTTTAGTGTAATATTCTTTAGTGTATCTCTTTAATATGTTATTTAGTATAGTAGTAGTGTAATATAGAATAGCTTAATAAAGCAGTTATTCAGCCTTCTAAATCATAGAGTCAGAACACATTATTCCCTAACGCTGTGCTTTGATTCTAGAACCAAGAAGAGCAGCCCACCCCAGGAGATGGTGACCTACAGCCTGAGGTGAGTGCTGGAGTCTGCCTTCTGTGTGGCCCCACTGCAGCTCCCACTGTCCTTCACCTACTTCCTTTTTCATGCTTTGACTCAGGAAAAGTCCAGCTTGTCTTCTCCCCTCAGTTATTTTATAAATCAGCCTTTCCCAAGTTTAGTATTTATTGCCCAACTCCATTCCAAGTCAATGCATTGTCCACACCTCCTCTGTGAGTTTCTGTAGAAGGAGAATATTCTCATCACCTTGAAATCCCTCCCAGTATTTTAACTGCTGGACCTTCCCTGGGCAGTGAGGTGGCTGGAAACCCTCCCTGTGTGCATCCAGGTCTCCCAGCAGGGCTGTCCCAGTGGCACCTGGCAGACTGGCCAGGCCTCCCAGGAACTAAGGCAAGTTTTCCTCTGGACTTCATTTCCTGCAGAAACGTCCACCGGCCAGTTCCCCTGCAGAGCTTCAGGCAGTACTATGAGATGAAGACAGCAAATGCTAACCAGGCTTTTTTCCAGGAGTTTGAGGTGAGATGAGACCCTCCTAGAGATGACACCTGGTTTCTGCACTTGGTGGCTCATGCTGTTGGCTGTCCAGTATGGAGTGCTCCTCTCCAGGGTTGGTCACTCATCTCTAGCAATCCAGCCAGCCTGAGGAGCAGCCTTGGAGGCCAAAGATTGGATGGACCAAGTGATAAGCAGTTCCTTCCTCAAAACCTGTTTTGTTCAAGTTCTGGTCAAAGCACATGTGGCATGAGGTGAACCAGCACAGAGAAGAGAGCCCCAGGCCTGACTGGAGGTGAAGGGGAGAGGGGTGGCAATGAGAACCACCCTGACAGTGGTAGAAAAGAGCCTGCAGCCAGAGGGAAGGTCAAGCAACACTCTCAGACCTCAGGGTCAGGCTGTGAGCTTCACCTCAGGCTGCCTTCCTTGGCTCCCACTGCCAACGTCTGCAGCCTCTGGACTGTTCTGCTGCAACATCTTCAAATTCCTATCAGCAATTTCAAACCCTCCCCAGATCACCCTTTTGTGGCTTCTTGAGTGAGGACAGGGGTAGAAGCAGATGCAGCACAAGCTATTTCTGCTTGCTCAGCAGAAAATCCTCTGAGCTTTGTGGTAGATTTCCAAGGCTTTTTCCCCCAGTAGTTGTTCTTGGGCTTTTCTTTTAAATATGAACAATGCTGTTGGAAAAGGCAATGGGGAAAGCCACCATGGCTCAGAGTGCACAGGCCATGTGAGGGAGGAGTGGAGCAGTTCTCTGTGTGAGGGTAATCTTTACCCTCCAGACAGAGCCACTGGCCATGAGCAGGGAGCTGAGCTGAGCAGGAGCTCTCCAGAGGAGTGTTTGTGCTTATGTTTTCCCCTGTCCTACAGGAGCTGAAGGAAGTTGGGAAGGAGCAGTCGAAGGTGGAGGCTGAGCTGCCAGCAAATGTCTCCAAGAACAGATATCCCCATGTGCTGCCCTGTAAGTGCTGTCTCCTCCCTTCTCCCCCAGCCTGCAGGGTGGGAGCTCATAGGGCAGTGTTCAAGGACAGGCTCACCTTGCATCCCTGCCAGGGTCAGTGCCTGGCTGCTTTCCTGGGAGCAGGAGGACTCTTGAAATGGGCTCAGTTTCCATTTTCCTGCTGGAGACTCAAGGCTTAAAGGTTGAGGCATGGCTGAGCCCCCATCCTGCCCAGCTCTTCCCGCTGGGCTGGGTGAGCCCAGCTCAGGATGGGTCCCAGCAGGAGACCAAAGGGGGTCCATGAGCTTCACTGGTGGGCCTCATGGCCCCAACTCTGTTTGCCAGTCCCCTGCTAGCCCAGCTGGCAGGCGGTGCTCACCTCTCTGGGGAGAAGGTGCCTGGCAGAGCACAGAGCCTCCTTGCTGGAGCTGCTGGGGCTTCTCCCACTGGGTTCCCAGGTCCCATGTCCTGCTGAAGGGCTCCTTGGGGCTCACCTGTGTGTGGTCTCTTCCAGATGATCACTCTCGGGTCAAGCTGAGCCAGCTGGGGGAGGATCCACACTCAGACTACATCAATGCCAACTTCATGCCTGTGAGTGCCCACCTGCCTGCCCCACAGAGATGTGGCACAGGGCTCTGTCACAGAAGCTCTGCCTGGGCTGAGGCAGAGTGTTCCCTTCTGTGAGGGCTGGTGGGCATGAGATGTGCTGGTGAACAGCTGGGCACAGCTGGCACAGGCCAGTGAGGAGCAGGGGGGAAGGTGGAGAGCTGTGGTTGCCCTGTAGCAGGCATTGATGGAGCCTGTGAGATGGCAAATGCTGTGAGTGTGGGAGGTCTCTGCTTTCTTCTCGTGGACTGTCTATCCTCTTCCATCACCTCCCAGCTTACTGCCCTGTCTCTCTGCCTGCTCTTTTCCCTTCTGGTCTGTGCAGCTGCATTTGAACAACCCTGGAGCTGTGCCTTCATCCCCCATGTGTGAGGTGTTCCCAGGTAACAGGCAGGGCACGCTGCATGCATGGGCCATTGTGTGGATCTGGGGCATGTGTGTGTCCAAGGGCAACGAAATACCCTGAGACCTTGCATGCTCACTCTGCCCTCAGCAGGGAAGGGGAAGCACAGGGACAACCCAGATCTGTATTTCTCTGGTTAGACTGAATGAGGAACTGCTTGGAGGGAAATTGTGTGGGTCACTTTATTCCAAATATGTAGAAAGTGTAGCTGGGCAGCTCATGCTTCCTGTGAAATCAGCTGCTGCTGAGATCAGCTGCCTGGGAACTGTGCCCATGTGGGCTAAGGGCAACAGGAATTTCTCCTCTACCACAAAAACAGACCAGGCACTGACTGGTCTCAGGACAGGACCCACCTGCCTTGGCAACCTGCTAACTCATCTCACTCTTGTCTGCCTCTTGCTCAGGGCTACACATCCCAGCAGGAGTTCATTGCCACCCAGGGGCCCCTAAAGAAAACCATAGAGGATTTCTGGAGGCTGGTGTGGGAGCAGAATGTCTGCAATATCATCATGCTGACAGTGTGCATGGAGAACGGGCGGGTAGGTTGGTGCCAGCCCCAGCCCAGCCCTGACCTGGTGGTGGGAGCTGAGCCCAGGGCTGGCTCTGTGTCCTCCACAAAACCCCTGCTGTGGTATGGCTCCAGGCTGAGCACAGCCCACACAGATTCTCTGACAGTTTGGGGGAAGAGAGGCTGATCTGTGCAGCTCAGCTTCAGCTTGGGATGGGAGCTCAGCTAGGACCATGCCCATCACCCTCAGATATTTCTGCAGAATTTGAAATTGCCATGTCCTCTGGCTGTTCCTCCAGTCTCCAGGGCTAATGAGACCCATATGGGTCCTTTTTTCTGGAGGAGGCTGAGATCCAAATGAAGGAGCTGTGAGGGAGAGCTGTGCAAAGCTCCCAGTGGGAAGGGGAAACATCCCTGCCTGCTCCCCAAGACCTGTCCTGGCCCCCCTTCAGCTGCTGCTGTGTAGATGCTCCCTGGGAGCCAGATCACCTGGTCCCTCACTGGGACCTTGTCCTGCTCTAGGTGCTCTGTGACCATTACTGGCCATCAGAATCTGCCCCGATGTCCTATGGGCAGGTGAGGGTCCACCTGCTGATGCAGAGCAGCTCTGAGGAGTGGACAGTACGGGAGTTCAAGCTGTGGCATGTGAGTGCAGACACCGGGGGCTGTGGGGACCTGGCAGGGGTTTGGGGTGGGCACTGGCATTTCTCCTCAGCAGTGGTGGCACCTGTCCCTGCCATTTCTGGGGCTCAGAGAACACCCGAGCCCTGAGGAGCAGTGAGGGTGACATGGGGGTGTCCAGCACGTGTCGTGCTGCTCTCCACCCTTGCTCTCTCATTTCCATGTCCCTGCACCAGGACAGCCTGTGGTTTCCAGGCCATGTTCCCTGGCAGTCAAAGGCAGATGTGCTCCCTCCCACCTCCACAGCCTGGCAGGGGCTGTGGGGGAGCACGGAGGAGCAGAAGCCACCAGGCAGTGCAGACCTGATGTTGGCTGTTCCCTGCAGCTGAGCTAGGTGTCCTCAAGTGCCCAGGTGCTGTCAGGGGTGTGAGGCTGCCTGGGGGCTGCACACCCATCAGCATTCCCCTGCAGGAGGGTCTGCAGGCAGAGCGCTTCGTGTCCCACCTGCACTACACAGCATGGCCCGACCACGGCATCCCCGAGTCCACCACTTCCATCATGACCTTCAGGGAGCTGGTCCAGGAGCACATCCAGAGCACCAAGGATGCAGGGCCGACCCTCGTGCACTGCAGGTGAGGCTCTGCCCCACGGGATGGTGGGGGGATGATGGGAGAGGGCAGGGGGATGAGGGATGCACAAACTGTGAGTGAGGGAAGGCAGTGCCCAGGAGACACAGCTGCTCTCTGGAGTCTCCTGCTCGGGTGTTGAGGGGTACAGGTCTGCTGGCAGCCTGCCCCAGGCTGTGGGGCAGGGGGACATGGTCAGCACCAGCCCAGGGCAGCCTGGATGCTCCTCAGCCCCATACCCCGCCGGGGCAGTGCCTGGTGTTCTCTGGCAGTGCCCAGGGAGCAGCTCTGGGAGCATGTCCAGCAGCAGGAGGGAGCCAGGGCTGTGGTGCCAGGCCTTGTTTAACCCTTGCTGTCTCAGTGCTGGCGTGGGCCGCACGGGCACCTTCATTGCCCTGGACCGGCTGCTGCAGCAGATGAAGCAGGAGAAGGCCGTGGACATCTTTGGTGTTGTGTACACCTTGAGGATGAACCGGTACCTGATGATTCAGACACTGGTGAGATCTCTGCTCCCCCTTTCCCCTGGCCCCTCACTTGCTTCTGTTGAAGTTCACAGGGCTGGCAGTTGGATGAGCTGGCCAGCCAGCCCCAGCACCCCCAGGCTGGTCCTCGGCCTGTCACTGTCATCCTGCTGCTGAAAGCAGCAGCTCAGCTGGAGTGGAAATTGCTGGAGGGGGTCTTCAGCTGCTTCATGCCCTGCTAGACCCACAACAGCAACATCCAGATTCTGAGACCTCCCAGGAGGCTCAGAAACACCCTGGAACACTGAGGAACAGGATCAGGCCCTTTGCAGGCAGTTTTTAGGTCACACCATGTTGTTGGTCTGTGATACTCCCCAGTCTGTCTCCTATCTCCAGTCCCTGGGGCTGGGACGAGGTGTCAGCATTGCCCTTCAGGAGAGGGACCACAGCCCCTCTCTGGTGCTGTCTCTGCAGTGTGATGCTCTGTGTTCCTGTCTGCCTTTGCCTTCCAGTCCCAGTACATTTTCCTGCACAGCTGCATTCTGGACAAGATCTTGGAGGAGCCTCTCCTGGATTTATCAGGGACACAGAGGTAAGGCCTTGCTGTGCTTTGCCACTCTGCCCACCCTGATCACAACCCCTCCCAGCAAGCCTTGGCAGCAGGACAGAAGGACAGGAAGCCCAGCAGCCATCCCAGGTGCTGCTGTGGGTGGGTTGTTCCTGCAGCACGGGGTGCCCAGCACAGAACAAAGTGCAGTCTCCTGGGTACCCCAACACCAGAGGTGTGCAAAGCTGTCCTGGGGAAGGCATTTCCCTCAGCCTCTGGCTTCCCAGCCCACAGGCATGCCCTAGAGATAGGTAAAACTGGAGAGGCTCATGGCAGCTGGGTGACCTTGGGACGTGCTCCTAATGGAGGCCAAGGGGATGGAGCAGGGTCCAGTTGGCTGGGCATGGCTTTGACCATCTCATTGTCTTGGGGCTATATCTGGAGGTCATGCACTTGTCTTTGTGGTCAGATTGTCTTCTCCCTCATGCAGAACAGGATATCCTTGTCCTTGCTGCCTCTTGGGAATGACCTCTGGGCTGTGTCACCCCTGAGTCCTGCCTCTGTCTAGAGGACAGCAGGTTGTCATGGGCCAGAGCTGGGCTGGGGGCCTGGGAAACCCCTGGCATTTGAGGAGTGAAGGTCTGCTCACAGCCCTGTCCACCTGCTGCAGACACAGCCTGGTGCTGCTCAATGAGCTCAGCCTCACCCCTGTGCCCTGGCTCTCTCCCCAGGTCCTGCCCCATCCCACTGAAGAGCTTTGCCCAGCACTATGCCCAGAAGGCAGCCAAGTCCCACATGGGCTTCCTGAGGGAATATGAGGTGAGAGCAGTCCTGGGCAGGTGCAGGGAGTGCTGCCATTGCTGTGTTTGCTGGGGGGACCTGGGGAGTGACTGAACCTGCTGGGGCTGGAGGACACCCTGTAAGTGCCTCCTGAGTGGCTCCCATGCCCCAGTTCCCTGGGTGTTCTGGCAGTGTCCCCTCTCCATGGCATTGCATGCCCAGGCACACAGCTCCCTCCTGCATTCTGCACTGGTCAGGGTCTATCCACCACCCCCTCCTGCCCAGGTGCCTGCCTGGACAGCAGCAGCCCTCTCCTGACAGCATGGCACTGTCCTGGCAGCCCCCTGCAGAGCTGCTCTCGTGGCTCTCCTGTTCAGGCTGTGCTGCCATGACCCCTCTGCCGAGTCCAGGTGTCCTCAGGAGACCCCGGTTCCTCCTGTCCTGACCCTCCCTCACTGCCTCCTCCATGCTCTCTCACCCTGGCAGGCTCTCCTGGAGGTTGTCAAGGAAGAAGCCAGCTCTGCATCACCATCTTCAGGCAGCCAGCAGGCACGGCCCTCCTCCAGCATCCTGCCCTGTAAGTTCTGGGACACCTTGCATCCTCATCCTTCCTGTTCCCTGTCCTCCTGCATGGAGCCAGCCTGGAACAGGGCCAGTAGTCCAGAGCATAAGAAAGTATTTTGAGTCTTTGGTGACTCCCCCAGAAGGTTACCAAGGTGTTTGGGATGGAGCACAAGGTGCTTGGGACTGGGATAAGTGGGTTTGCTCAGCCTGGAGAAGGAAAAGGGGAGATCTTGCTGTTTTCAGTTACCTGTGGGAAGGCACAGGGAAGCCATGGAGTCTTCTCAGAGGTGTGGAGGGACAAGAGACAAGGGGGTGGCTTGGGAGGGTAATCCAGCTAGTAGAAGGAATAGTGAATTTCCATGAAGATGGTCAAACACTGGAACAGAGGCTCAGAGGACTCACAGGCTCTCCATCCTCGGAGAGAGGCAGATCTCCAGTGGCTCAGACACTGAGTGACCTGCCCTACAGGAGCAGGGATGGAGACCTGTCCTTTGGGAGCCAACAGGCTGGAGATGAGCATTGCAGAAGGGAATGCCTTTGCCAAGAAATGGTGAAGGAAGGATTGGATTTGTGTGACAGTCAGTCTGCAAAACCTGTCTCAGCTCAGGAGTGCCTGGAATCCCTCCAGCTGCCACTCTCTTTGCAGATGATCGCTCCAGGGTGAAGTTCTCCCTGCTGGAGCAGGGCCCTCTCTCAGGGCTGCTGCAGGTCTGGCGTGTCCCGGTGAGTCCCACCCCAGCAGCAGCACCCACCCTGTGCCTGTCCTCATGCTGGCTGTGCTCCTGCTCTGCTCCACTGCTCCCTGTCACTGTGCTGCTGTGTGGAGCAGAGGGGACTGCAGGGACTGAGGACATCCCTTCCCTCCCCTGCCCACTTTGGGCTGTCCTCACCTGCCTCCCTTGATGCTTTCACTTCTCTCCTTGCCTCCTGACCTGCTGAGCTCTCTGCTCTTCCTGACCATTCCTGCACCCACCTGGGCCAACAGAGCATCCTCTCCAGCAGGGGAGTGACATTCCCATTCCCCACCCAGGGCTGCAGCTCCAGCAGGGACTACCTGGCTGTCCATGGCCCTGACAAGGTGACCATGGAGGACTTCTGGACCCTGGTGTGGGAGCAGGATGTTCACACAATCCTCACGCTTCTGCCATGGCAGGAAAAGGGGGAGGTAAGGCACTGTGCCCACCTGTGCCATGGCAGAGGGGGAATCTGTTCAGTGCAGTTGGAACTAGCAGAGCTCTCAGCTCTTCACTGCCTTCTGAGTCCTGGGTGCAAACCCAGCTTAGCTAAAGCTGGACCTTTCCTGTGCCCAGGTGCTCTCACAGCTTGTCATGGGAGACAGTCACCCCCATGCCTGGACTCAGCTGGTGCCCTTCAAGCTGCATGTGTGGGACCCAGGGCAGCAGCTCCTGCTCTGCCCAGCCAGGGTGTGGGCACTGGCTGAGCAGACTCCAGCTCAGAGCTCTGAGCAGAGCTGCCAGGCAGCTCTGGGTTCCCACATGAGCTGGCTGAACCTGCTGGTGTTGCTGGAACTCCCTCAGGTTTTATTTAGGTGGGGGATGAGCTGACATGGAGAGATGCTGGAAGTGCTCTTGGTCCAGCCCCACCACAGGCCCCAGAGATGGTTGCTGGTGTGACAGACAATGCCCACGAACAGAAAGCCAAATTCCTTGTTGCACACAGGTCCCAGGTGAGGTGTGCTGGCCCCTGGAAGGAGATTCTCTCTGCACGAGGACACTGACCATCCAGTGTGACACAGAGAAGTTTGTCTCAGGATGGAGATGTACCCAGCTCAAACTGAAACACGTGTGTGTCCCTGGGGCTGTCCTGGCTCCCACCTCCGGGGTGGGGGTGGCTCTATAGGGATCTGTAGGGGCTGAAGGATCTGTGGGACTTCTCCAAGCTGCAAGAGCCAACAGTCCACAAATGCAGGAGTGAGTCTGAATTGCAACATCCAGAACTGAGTGGACACAGGAGATACATGGGAGAAGCCCTGGGGGCTGATAGGTCTGTCTGACCCTTTTGAAGTTCTCAGTTCCCTCTCCAGGAGCAAGTCAGGGTGCTGCGGGCAAGGACAGCAGGTTGCCAGAGTGGGTGGTGGGCAGTGCCCCAGCAGAGATGCCTGGACAGCTTTACACAAGCTGGCAGAAAGCTCAGGGGAGCCTCAGAAAGCCCAAGGATGGGAGAGCTGGGGCACCTCTGCATCTAAACTCACCGTCCCTCCCCAATACCCACAGCTCTTTGTGTCTCACAGGAGAAGAAGGCAAAGGAGAGGCAGGTTCAGAGGTTCCTGTACACCCTCTGGAGCAGCAGGAAGCAGCCTGATGTGCAGAGCCTGGTGGAGCTGCTGGGGGCTGTCAGGCGGGGCACACCCCCCCGCAGGAGAGGGGGTCCTGTCCTGCTGCACTGCAGGTACCCTGAGCTCCACCCTGAGCTCCATCCAGAGCCAGCAGCTGCACAGTGCTTGGCATGCCAAAATCTGTCTTGGTTTGAACAGCCAGGTGTCTGCTAAGGAAGGCAGGAGCCCTCCTTGAAATAGAAAATGTAAACCCCCTCCCTCCAAGTAATTATAATTTTGAAATTAAGGGGGGCTCTCAGGCAAAGATATGGGAGCTGGAATAACAGTTCCTAACTAGGAAAATTAAAAATACAAATAAAATAGTACAAAAAGGAAAACCACTGCCAGAGTCAGAGCAGGAGCTGACCCCCTGTGGGTCAGGTTGGTGGCACAGTCCCATCCCATGGGGGCTCAGCCCTCCTGCAGTGCCAGCTGTGCTTCTGCTGGAGCAGGGATCCTGCACAAGGCTGGAGTTTTCCTCTGAAGCTCCAGGGCTGCTGGAAATGGGTCATGCCCTGGGTCCATGGGAGCTAGTTGAAGTGCTGAGCCTGGGAGGTCACAGGGCTCTGCCAGGGGCTGGGAGAAGACAGGGCAAACAGGGCTGGGCTGGGGGAGTATGGGTGGAGCAGGCATTCCCAGGCTGAGGTGCCCAGGCCATCCCTGGGTAGCTGCAGGGATACTGGGAGCAGCCCTGATATCCCCCCTTGCTTGCACAGAGACAGCTCACAGTCCCACAGTGCCCACATGGCTCCTTGGACTGGTGCCCTCCTCCAGAGGGGTTCAGCTCAGCCTGGCCTGGCATCAGTGACCCCTCCCCTTGTCCCCTGCAGTGGTGACTTGAGCCAGATGGGGACCCTGATCTCCCTGGATTGCCTGTTGCACCAGATGAAAGCTGAGAGAACCGTGGACATCTACGGCGTGACCCTCCAGCTGGCCAGAAGCTGCTGCCTCATGACCCCAACTCTGGTAGGTGGGAAGGAGAGGGGTGGTGGGCTGGGTGCAGCAGAGTCTTTGTGCTGACCTGCCTGGAGCTGGCAGCATCCTGCCCACTCCTGGGTGCTCCCTGCTGCCTGTCCAGACTCAGCAGGGATTTACTTCATGCTGCTCTCCCACCCTGTGGCTCTGCCAGCCACCAAGGGCACTGACTTTTCCAGGCAAGAGTTTTCCATTGCCTGGGTTCTGAGTTAAGATCAGTTAAATTGCATGTGAACTCAGTAAATCAAAGCACTCTTCCCACTGTACTCGAGGAAGAATGGAGCACTGGTGTCACCCTTCACAACCTGCCTGCTTCCCCTTGGCTGCTGGGCATGGCTGTCAGCCTGGGCACCCAGAACCTGCTGGTGTCCCCTTGGCCAGCACTTTCTGCTGCATCCCCAGACCCAGAGCCTGCTGTCACAGCTGGGGCTGCCTGCCAGGACAGTGGGACACAGTGCCACATTAGCAGGTGCCCTGTGGCTGTAGCACTGTCTGATGGGGCTGTTCTGTGCCAGCCCAGCCTTGGTGTGCCAGCCCTGGTGGGTGCTTGTGGCACCAGTGCCTCTGGACATGGTTCAGTTGCTGCAGCTGCTGAGTGAGCTGCTGCACAGCCCTGGAAACACTCCCCACAGGGCACAGCAGAACTGGGGAAGATCTCTCCAAGGCTTCCCAGCTGCAGAGCCTCCTTCAAGAAGCTAATTACATTCTTAATTAATGTGAACCATGTGCGTGGTGGGAGCCAGAGCAGGGCAAGGCGGCGGCTGCCCTGCTTCAGAGCTGCTTTGTGCTCCCGCAGCGCCTGCCCTGCAGGGACACAATTCCCCATAAAGGCACAGCAAGGGCCCATCAAACGCTGCTGTCCTGCTGCAGGGGGGCAGCAGAGGAGCTGCTTCCCCTCAGAGCAGCAGGGCTGCCCTCCAGCCTCCTCCACCCCTCTGGGGGCTTGCCAGCACCCCTTTGTGTCTGGCGGGGTCATCAGCTGCTGCGGTGCTGCAGGCGTCGGGTTTTTGGGGGGGAAGCAAGGGGGAAGATGAACCTTTGATGGATATTCAGGGATAACTGTCAGATGTTAAGCACCACCAGCTCCAGCGTGGTGCATGTCCCAGGGGATGTGCTCTTGCATGTGGCCAGTCCCTGAGTGTGCCTGGGCTGCAGTGAGCCCCGGGCTGTCACTGCCCGTTTCCCAATCAGACCTGACTCACAGCAGACACTCTGTGACCTGGAGCCTCAGCCATTGTGTGCTCGGTGGCACGGTGAGGCTGAGCCCCCGGCACAGGGAGGAGGCTCCTCGTGACTTGTGGCTCAGCCAGAGCATTAACGAGCTCTGGGGAATGCTGCTGGGCCCCTCTGCAGCCCTAATCCCCCTGCCATGCCACGTGATTCCAGCCCACACCATGTGCTGGCTGGCCTTGCTCTCCAGCTCTGTGCCCTCAGTACAACCTCATTTACCTTCCTCACATCTTGCCTACTCAGTCCTGGGTTTGTGGCCTGGTGTCATTTTGGGGCAGCCTGGCATTTGGGCAGAACCTCATGTCAAACACAGGGACTGGGGATCTCAGAGCCCACACCCACATTTGGACCTGATGGATCAGTTTGGTGATACTAAAAAGAGACAAACAATGCAGCTGGGCTAAACCCACACAGATCTTTCTGTACCTCTGTGAGCCTGCAAGCATCTGCCCTGATCTGCTGTCAGCTCCTGACTCTGGTACCCTAGGACTACACCAAGGGAAACTCCTGGTCCAGAGGTCTTCCCTCCTGGCCCCAGGTCACTGCCAGACCCCAAGCCTCCAGCTCTGTGCCCTGCAGCATCCCTGGAGTTGCTCTTTGCTCTTGTTTGAGATGCAAACACCACAGCACATCCAAAAACCACTGGGGCCCTTGGAGGGGAAGCCAAATGAAATTGTTCCTTTGCAGCTTGGATGGGATGTTCCTCTCAGCCCCACCACGGGGGGCTGAGGAAGGGGAAACAAACATGGTATAACAGGCTTGATTCTTCCTTTCTGGGTGGCTGTGGTGACACAGTGCCATCATGGACTACTGGGGAGAGCAAATCCTGCTCTGTTACCAGACACTGTTCCTTAATTAGGATTTTTTAAAGCAAACTGCAAGGTTAATGTGTGACCTGGAGGTCTCTGTCAGAAACCTGACTGTGACCTTTCTCCATTGCAGGACCAGTACGTGCTCCTGTACACCTGCATCCAGGACATCATCACTCAGAACCAGCCCTAACCCACCTGGCCCTTCTGGCACCTTCTGCCTGCCCCTGCAGGGCCCTGTGCAGGGCTGGGGGCTGGTGGGGGCACCGTGGGACTCCTGGGTCAGAGGGAGCCCTGCAGGAGCAGTGACCTCCCTGGGCAGTGTCCCCAGCATGTGCCAGCTGTGACTGGGGGTGTCCTGGACACACAGACAGCGTCCTGCCACGCACCACTGCAGCCTGTCAGTGCACACACCGGGAGGGGCTGGGCAGGATCCTCTCCTCTTCTGGAGATCTCTGAGATTTCTGGTGCCTGGAGGGCTCTCTGCCCCCTCAGTACACACTGCGGGGCTCTGTGGTGCCTCTGAGCCCAGCAGAGCGTGGAGCACTGTGGTCTGCAGTGCCCCTGGGCTCTCTGTGTGCAGCTCTCAGCTGTGCTGTGGGCAGAGATCTGGGGGAGCTGCCTTGTCTCAGCTGGAATGGTTTTAGGTACAAACAATAAAGAGCCCTAGGAAAGTGTGTGCTTGTAAGGGGGACTTGGCTTTTGAGGGGTCCAGCTGATGTGAAGGCTCCAGCACAGCAGCTGTTCCCAAAAGAGCAACTGTGTCCCCAGCCAGGGGACACAGCAGTGTCCCTTGGGCACACCAGATGCTGCAGTCCATGGCACAGCAGCTTCTGGTCACTCTATTCTGCTCCTTCCCCTGAGGCAGCACTTGTGCAGTGAGTGTCCAGCCCACCCAGACACATTTTCAGACAAAGCCTGGGCTCACAGCTGTGAACCTGCCCCAAGGAACAGGGCAGAGCCACCTGGTTCAGCTGGCATACTGGTGAGCAGCTGGCAGCCTCAGCTCTGCTGAAACTGGGTTGTCCATGCAGGGATGTGGCTGCTCTGCAAGCAGAGGTGACCATGCCCAGGCTGAAATCACGAGCAACTTGGTTCACTGAGCTGCAAGTGCAGGACAGAAGGAAAAGTTAAAAAAAAGAAGATGGTTTCACAAGCATATTCCTCATGTAGAAAAACCTGTATCTAGGACCCTGTTTGCCCTTCTCCCCTTCAGGCAGGGTGGGTTGTAGTGCAGCCTCAGAGCAGTGACCCTGCCCCAGTGTGGCCCACACTCCTGCCCACTATGCCATGTCCTGTGGCAGCTGCCTTGGGGTGGGGTGAGGAGATGTAACAGTATGACAAGGGGCTCCCAGACCTGCTACGAGGAGCAGAGAGCCCCAGGTGGGTGACTGAGTTGGCCACTCCTCCTAATGCCCCTGTGATTCCACTAGAAGCTTCTCCTTCCAAAACAAGGATCTGCACCCCAGGATGGGACACCCAGGGCACCTCAGCCTCAGCCATCCCAGCCCTGGGTGAGGCCTCTTTTGCAGCTGGCTATCCTTTTCCCCCCTCCTAACTCAGGTTTCTCTTTGGCAGTTGCTGTCCCACGGCCTCCTGCTCCCCCCTGCACCACCCAGAGTGCTGTGCAGCCCTAGCCAGGTGTCCTGCCTGGTGTCCCCTGCACCACTGCCCAGCTGTGGCCATGGCAGGGCACAGCTGGCAGGGAGCAGTGTCACCCCTGCACACAGGACACCTTCTGTGTCACGCCTGCACACAGGACACCTTCTGTGCTGCAGGCAGAGCTGCTCAGTCCCCTCAGCTTGCTCCCAGCTCCAAGCTGCAGCACGCCTGGCCTGGGGGAACCCAGGTAGTGCAGAGCCTTAGCCCCACAGAGGGCTGGAATTCCTTCACTGGACATGCTGTGTGGGCAGTGCTGCCTTCAGCACAGCTCAGACCATCCTGGGTTGCCCATGGGCACCCTCAACCCTCCTGAGCTGCATTGTTCTGGATGCAGTTGCTGTTTGGAAATGTTTCTGTGTCACTACATCTTTGTGCCAGGGTCACCCAGCCGTGTGATGTGCGCTGCCACTCGCTGCTCAGCCTGCACAAGTGACCATCCAGTGGCTCATTACACTGCTGTTCCTGGGCAGATGCCAACATGCCAGGGGCTCTCCAGGAGGATCAGTGAATATCCCAACATGAAATGGCCTTGTGAAGCTCAGTGGATGCTCTCATGTGCACAAAAGGATTTATGATGTTGCCTTGGGAGGAGCCCAGCCCTCGCCCTTACTCACAGGGAGCCTGATGGCTTTATGACTTTTATGTAACCAGTAACTCCTAAAGCACACTGGGCTGCAGGATGAGGGTCACAAGAGGGAAATGTTGTTCCCACAGCCAAGATCAGTGGCACTGGGCTGTTGGCTGCTCTGCAGCAGCAGCACCTGCCCTGTGTGTCTGGGCCACCACAGGACACCCCAGGGCACACTGGATGTTAACATTCCACTAGAAGCTTCTCCTTCCAAAACAAGGATCTGCACCCCAGGATGGGACACCCAGGGCACCTCAGCCTCAGCCATCCCAGCCCTGGGTGAGGCCTCTTTTGCAGCTGGCTATCCTTTTCCCCCCTCCTAACTCAGGTTTCTCTTTGGCAGTTGCTGTCCCACGGCCTCCTGCTCCCCCCTGCACCACCCAGAGTGCTGTGCAGCCCCAGCCAAGTGTCCTGCCTGGTGTCCCCTGCACCGCTGCCCAGCTGTGGCCATGGCAGGGCACAGCTGGCAGGGAGCAGTGTCACCCCTGCACACAGGACACCTTCTGTGTCACGCCTGCACACAGGACACCTTCTGTGCTGCAGGCAGAGCTGCTCAGTCCCCTCAGCTTGCTCCCAGCTCCAAGCTGCAGCACGCCTGGCCTGGGGGAACCCAGGTAGTGCAGAGCCTTAGCCCCACAGAGGGCTGGAATTGCTCCCACACTGGACATGCTGTGTGGGCAGTGCTGCCTTCAGCACAGCTCAGACCATCCTGGGTTGCCCATGGGCACCCTCAACCCTCCTGAGCTGCATTGTTCTGGATGCAGTTGCTGTTTGGAAATGTTTCTGTGTCACTACATCTTTGTGCCAGGGTCACCCAGCCGTGTGATGTGCACTGTCACTCGCTGCTCAGCCTGCACAAGTGACCATCCAGTGGCTCATTACACTGCTGTTCCTGGGCAGATGCCAACATGCCAGGGGCTCTCCAGGAGGATCAGTGAATATCCCAACATGAAATGGCCTTGTGAAGCTCAGTGGATGCTCTCATGTGCACAAAAGGATTTATGATGTTGCCTTGGGAGGAGCCCAGCCCTCGCCCTTACTCACAGGGAGCCTGATGGCTTTATGACTTTTATGTAACCAGTAACTCCTAAAGCACACTGGGCTGCAGGATGAGGGTCACAAGAGGGAAATGTTGTTCCCACAGCCAAGATCAGTGGCACTGGGCTGTTGGCTGCTCTGCAGCAGCAGCACCTGCCCTGTGTGTCTGGGCCACCACAGGACACCCCAGGGCACACTGGATGTTAACATCGAGCAAGCAAGCTGCAAAGTCAAACCTGGTCCAAAGCATGATCTGCCATTTGTCTGTCCAGAGTCTGGAGCTGACAGGCTGGTGAAGTTTGGACCTGCCCAGCAGCACAGAATCTCACCACTGCTGGGGGTTTTACCCCAAGAGCCCCCCAGAAGGAGTAGTCTCAAAAACCCTGTGTCCTGCCCACACATGCACGTAGCCCCATCCAACCCTGATGTCCAGCTCTCACCCTCCAGCTGCATCCAACCTTTAAAACAATTCCTGGGCTACAGGACAGCAGCCTTTCTGCCAGGACCTGCAGGTCCACTCCAACATACCCCTAGAAGAGCACTGAAAATGCTGATATTTTTCATCCTGCAGACTATCCCACCCACTTGTAGAGCTCCTCTCACTGCTTCACCCTCAGCACAGCTGACCTGCAGAGCATGTGCAGGCAGAGCCTCCTGTGTTGGAAGAAGTGAGGGAGCTGCTGGTGTGGGAAAGGGCTGGTGTCATGCCCTCAAACGGAGCAGAGGTGACCCAGACCTGGATCCAGCTCCAGCATCACCTTGCTGGTGCTGCTGGGCACAGCCTGTGGCTCTCCTGTCTTTGCACAGCCCAGGAACTCTGGGCCATGGTTAATGCTGAGGCCATGGTTAATGCTGAGGCCATGGACCATCCTGAGCATGGTTACACATCCCCAAGGTGTGTGTGGAGATGGGGTTTGGCATCAGGCTCTCATTCAGTGTGTACTCAGCACTGACAAGCCTTTGTCCCCATGTGTCCCTGCATGGGTTATGATGCTAAAACTCCTGATGCTCGCTGTCTCAGAGGATTTCAAGATCTGTGGAGTGCCCTACATGCACAGCAGGGCCAGTCACAAGTGGCAGTGAGGATGCCATGGGCTAGCAGGAGTCTTGTGAGGGGCACAGAAGAAGGCTGACTGGGGGTTTTAGCCTCTTGTGCTGCTGGCTGCTCCCCTGCATGGGTGGGCATTGTCCCCCTTGGCTCTGCATCACCCCTCAGGAGCCCAGGGCTCTGCAGGGACAAGCCCTCCCGTGTGTCACTGCAGCCCAGCCAGCACTGCCTCCTCCAAAATGCACAGCTGCCAGGGATAAGGAGAAGCAGGAAACCCCCAAGCTCTCCCTGCTGTTCTCCCACAATCAGAACTGCCCTGTGGTGCTCAGAGCCATCACGGCTTGGGTTTTGCTCAAAGCCATGTTCTGTGAGGAGGGGCTCTGGGTCTGCCTCCACAGCTGGTGGCAGAGGAGGGAGGCCTCAGAATGGGACAGAACTGCTTTCATGGAGAAGAGCAGAACATCATCCACATGGGACAACCTGGGACACACCCCAGGTCATGCTCTGACAGCAGTGACCAAGACAGGGCTGGGGTGAGCTCTGCTGGCACCTGGCCCACAGCAGCTCTCATCCTGGAGCTCAGCACAGCACAGGACTGTCCATCCTCCTCAATGGATGGGCAGGACACCAGGAACCTTCCACTGTCCCTTGGGAAAGTGCCCCTGGGTCTCCTGTGTGTCTGTGCAGAGAGACAGCAGTCCCAGGACAGGACACAGGGCTGTCACCCACAGAGCTGCCAGGGCACTGGCCCTGAGACAGAAGGAGGGAAGTTAAAGCCATGGTGGGGGAGCCCTGGTGCTGTCCACAGAGCTTCCACAGGTCCAGGAGCGAGTGCTGCCTTGGCCCTCACATCTCCTAGCACATCTGCATGGTGCTCCCAGCACAAGGTGAACCTGCAGAGATCTGCAGTAAAGCACAGCTTCTCCAGCAGCTGTGCTGGGAGCTCCTCTGTCCTAGTTGAGATGGAGACAATACAAAGCAACACACTCCATTTTCAGAAGGCTTCAAATTGTTTTTATTCTAGCATGTATGCTTTCTATACATTCTTACAAAACTCATAAGTTTACACTTTACTCATTGGTCACAAGAGACAAACAAAGTGCTCATTGGAACAGGCACTTGCACGTTTCTCTTATTTATTCCTCTTTCTTTCTTTCTTTGTTTCTATGTCAATGACCTCGGTATAAAATTCTTTCAGGGGTGAACATGGATCCTCTTCTCAAACTTCTCTCTGACTCACGGGAGTTGCTGTAAAACCTCTTCCACACTCCTCATCCCCAGGGCAGGCA